AATTTAATATTAATAATATAATATCATATTGATAGAATAATGCCGTTTCCACAAATGCGAGTATAAAAGAAGAAGACTTGGATGACGCTTATCCATGTATTGAAAGTGATGACTGCGTGGCGATATTATGAATACTTGTGTATTGTGTATATATTTTATCAGAATTTTACATGCTTAAAATAACTTTCAGGGGGTGCCTGTGGTAATCCAGTGTTTAATTTGGGGGGAGGCAAAAGTACAAAGTTTGCTAAACACAGTGTAAACAATGGGAAACTAAGGTAATTAGGGGAGGGGAGAATGCCCCTTCCCCCCTCCTGGATCCGCCACTGCTTCTGCATACCCTGAACAAGAGGGCTGCGCACGCCTATAGTGTTGATAGTTGATACGTAGGTATTATTAATACAATAACTACAATATATCAGATATTATCTTAGTGAGTCGTGATTTCATCCATCAATTCTCGACTGAATTTACGCATTGTATTTATTCGAATCTAGCTTATTTAGATCTAAATATGACTCTATATCTATATGACATATGTTAAAGGTAGATATATTATTATTAAAAATATATACGTATCTATATTCATAGGCGTAAATAGGGTTTGACATTTGGGGGGCTAATCACCTCCCTCCTATTTGGCGCCTATGCGTATACCTATTTCATATATAACAATATAAATAATATATATAAACAATTTTTTAACATTTATACATTTTTTAAGTCATTGATGGAAAAATTTATTTATTATAATAAAACGAAAAAATGTTATGAAGAGTCTATAATCTAGATATATAAATGCTGCCAAAAAATATTTAAACATTTTCCGCTTGGGGCAAGTGCCCACTAAGCCCCCCGTTAAACACGCCCTGCGTATATTATAATCATGTATAATAATCGGTGTTTATGTTTTTAGAAGAAAGCGGAAAGATAAGATTATTAACAAATAATTGTATATTTGTATTATCGATACAGCCACCGACAGTAAAGTTGGTCTTGGTATTTATCGTCAGTCGTACTTATTGATGTTTATTTTTTAACGAATCGATGACCAACGAATTGGAAACGATGATCGAGTACTGACTACTACTGAGTAATAAGTAAAAAAGTATTTTAAAACAATAAATTACCGATAAACATCACGAGTCTAAGAAATTAATACAAATTAATAACATGTATAGCCATTAGCCATATAGGTATATATTTATATTATATTATAATACAAACATAATATAACATCATTTTCATTCGGATAACCTTTTACGGTAATCATAACGTATTTGTCGATGTAAAATGTTATTAAAGATAAAGTCTTTATGCGAAAAATATTAACAAAGTGGCCAGGATTTGGGAAAAGGGGTACGAGGCACGCCTAAAACTCCCCTTTTCAACTATAAATTAATAGTGGACGATTTTTCTGAAATATTTGACGCATCAGAATCAAAATTTATTTGTACTGGTGGTTTTTGGGTTATCCAATTTTGTGTTCTAATAATTGTAACGCATGTGTCCATGGCGACGGGCTTACAAGATATGGGGGCTATGGTGATTTGAAATTTGTAGTCATTAATATTAATAATTTGTAAATATGGCTAAAGTATAGTAAATACTAGATCCAGTTTTAGGTCTGTTTTATATTCATGTAAAACCATTTTAAGGACTATTAATCTTAATAAAAACATTTAAAAACCGAGGAACTACTCATTCGAATTTTAAATTAAGTACATTAACATTTTCAAAAAAAAAAATCCACTACTTACTCAAACAATTTACAATAAAAAAGGGTGGTTCTTATTTGAAAAACAGGAGTTTGTATCGCCACAGGACATTTCTTAAGAAGAAAAAAAAATTCAAGATTTTGAAAATAATCTGCTCAATTAGTATATTTAAAAATTACAAAAATTATAGTTTGAATAAATTCATTATTAAATAATAAAATGGGGGTGAGCATGCAGCTTGGTGATCATTCTGTATAATATCAATGCGTGTTGCTACAATTTGGCTTCTGTATAAGGGCTGCAGTAGTGCAGTCTAACAGCAGATAAAGGGTTAGCTACACTTAAAGTTGTGGTTATTTCAAAAGGTAACTGTCAGCTGTCGACTGTTGTAAAATGTCAACAGTTTTTTTTAAGAAAAATCTACAAGCATACATTTTATTAGGAGATGAGCATGAAATCCGAATATCTGAATTATCCGAATATCCAGATATCTAAATCCAGATTTGAATCGTATTCTTATCAGTATTTCCAGAATCATCCGAATTAACCGGATTTATGGATTTGCTTTTTATGTGATTTATAATTATTTTTAATATTGTTTATAATATTTATAATATTTTTTTGACTTCAATAGTACAACTTGAAATAATACGTAAATAATAAATATTAAAATACGAAATACATTTATATGTATTTAAGTTGTCGCTGTCATGACGAGTGTCTACTGGAATTAGCACAATAAGATTTTGTATTCAATGAGTAGGTAGGTACCTAAGCACTATTTAGTATTAAGTTGATATGGAAAAGTATCTATCTATTCGGAAATACTAAACTTAACGACTTTGAAGGTAAACAAAATTCGTGAAAGCTGCCAGTAGATATACAAAAATAATTTATGCAGATATCGTGCAGGGCGTAGGTCAGCCATTCCACAGCTCCCCCCCCCACCACATACAATTACAACACATTTTAGATTCTGAACCAAGAGAAAAACATATTGGATTTACAACAGTTTGTTTTGTATACGTATGTGAAACTATCGTGAGCAATCTTGGCCAATCATAAAAATGGTACACTCTACTCAACGTTTTATACACCAACCACTAGTATCTTATAAAGTAAGTTTCTTAAAAATGTATTACTATTATAACTAAATTTTTTACCTGTAATATGAGAGTAAAAAAAAGAAGACAAGTCAACATTATAGTAGGTAACATTTTAATACATTAGGTAACGGTAATTTTCTATCGTTAGCCTTAGCACTTGCAAATTTTTTTTAAATTTCTTCACTGTCAATATTGTTTGATACCTATGTCTCTCTTAATAATATGGATAAATTTGAAAATCGTTCTTGTATCATAGTTTACCGTAATTAATAACCTGTAATTTTACTTGAAAACTTTTTAAGTTTTTAAAATAGGTACTAATTTTATTTTTCCAAGCCCCCCCAACCTTTGTTGCGCCACTACATTCGTGCCGTCGTGGTTCCCAACCTATTATGATTGCGACTATAACATTTTAAATTCGACCTAATTTCACGACCCTTTAAAAAGTGAATACATAATTGCAAACATAATTCTCATATTTTTATCAACACTTATAGTATAAGCAGTAGGTAGGTACCTACCTATAACATAATATAAAATAGAAATTACCCATACCTATAGTTTATAATATTTGTAAGGATTTTTTTCCTCGATATTTCTGGTTATTCAGTTATTTTAGGAAGATATTTTCGGAATATTCACAAAACTCATGCTGAATGCTAAAATAACATGTTAATTATAATATACTCGCGACCTACAATAAAAACCTAAGGTTTGGAACCGCTGGTGTAGGTGATGATGCCTCAGCATCATCTTAATTTTTAATAGTGAGTACTTACTACAATACAAGTTACAACTCAATCCTAATCCTAAGCACTAAGTAATACGGTTCCTTTGGTAAAACTAAAATGAATAAGACATAAGTTACTCACGGAAAGTAGATATGGGTTACGGTCGTTACGGATAACAACGGATAATGCCGATATGGTGCCGCAGGACGTGTGTAAAGGCACCCCCGGACATTATATCGGTATGGTAGTAATGTAGTATGGTAATTGGTACCTAAGCGGGCTATGGTGGTCGTATTACCGTGATTTAAATTCTCAAATGGTGATATTTTATGTTGCTCATTCCACTACATTTTATATGCGTTTTTTTTTAGTTTCTTTCGATTTAAAAAAGGAATCCTAAACCGTTAAAAACTTAATAAAACGTTCTACAGACTACAATTATTCACAAAATACAAATAATATTATCAAATACACGATTCTTTATCACGATCAAATTGTTGAGGCACAGAATTTGGTTCCGTGGTTGAGGCATGAAAAAAATAAAAATATTTACATGGAGATAGTACTATCAGTAATATCCAAACATGGTATTGATATGTGTATGTAAGCCTAGGCTCCCTAGTCACTCGTTTCACCCAAAAAGAGTTGAACTTTCAGTTTTTTAAAAGTTGTAATTTTTTACGGGCAACAAAGTGCGTGGGATCAGCTAGTACCAATAAAAAATCAATAAAAACAATTTTAAAACTAAAATTTAAGTATCATTTTCACAATTTTCAACATATATTCTAAAAAGGTTTCATTCAGAAATGATGAAAATTATTTACATTTGCCATGTGAAGGTAATCGAAAGAGTGTTCTGAAATTTAAAAGATGTGAACCAAAATAATTTAAAATTATATCTCACATGGCAGAAGTATTTGGCGTCCTGCAATCTTTTCGCAGGTATGTAATGACTTAATTTAGCAGCTAACAAAATAAAAAGTTAATAAATGTTTGCTTTTAGAGATGGAGTGTTTTGTGATATTAATTGGAAACAGACGATGGTACAGTAGTAGTTGGACATAAAGTTGTTTTACTATCAGCTAGTCCATATTTCAGGGCCATTTTCACTAGCTTTGAAGAAAGTAATAAAGATCATATTAATATGAAAGAATTAGATTCCACCATTATGCAACTCTTGATTAATTATATTTACACTGGAGAAATAATTGTCAACGAAGAACATGTACAGGTATTATATATTTATAAGACTTATCCTAAAATGATTTAAATTTGTTGTTGTTTATTTCTCAAGGGTTTGTTAGCAGCTGCAAATCTCATACAGTTAGACTATTTAATAGCCTCATGTGAAAAGTTTTTACAAACACAGCTAAATCCTTCAAATTGTCTTGAAATCAGAGCATTTGCTGACTTACATAACTGTACAGAATTGATGTCAAGTTCTCATGCCTAAACAGTTTTTGTATGATAAACATAACTTAATTTTCTTGTTCAGTTAGTAAATTATATACCTTACAATTATTATTTTCAGAGCAGTGATGAAATATGAGTTTATATCTTTATCTCATGAAGAAGTGATTCAACTTATATCCTGTTCTGACCTTACTGTTCCATTTGAAGAAAATGTAAGCAAACTAAAATTATTGTTATTCTATTATTATGGGCTGAAACTTGAATATGGCTCAATTGGCTTGCCTATACTCTGTTATAGTTAAGAAACGTAGTCATGCAGCGGCGATCAGTTCGTCAGGCCACAGTCTGGCAGCACCCAGTAAATTATCTGAATCCCCGTTGTATAGTATTGCCAAGTCCCCTCCGCACAAGTCGGGACTACGTTTCTTAACTTGAACAGAGTATACATGCAAATATATTAATAACTGTACAAGTATAATATATCTTATATAGTGGCCGCTTGTAAAAAGTATACTTGAATTACGTTTTACAGAAAAAAAATTAATATTTTGGTGGTTGTCCTATATATAGATAGTTAATAAAACCAAATAACTATTTTAATATAATATTTATGAAGTACCTATTACATGTCTATAGGTGTAATACATTTTAATGTTTAATGTTTCTTACAATAAACTTGGTATATAGCTATTAAATTACAAATAATAAAACTATACATACCTATCTCATTCAACTCTTATCAATATTTATATTTGAAATATACCTACTATAGTATGTAATTCTTGGCTTGCAATAAAAAAAAAGAAATCTAATAGCTGTTTAAGAGATCCCAAGAGGTAACTAAGAGTTATTTGTTGTTAGATCTAGTTATGCAAAATATTCTTTAACTTGTGCAATTCAATTAAATTTGTTTGTGTTGATGGTATATCAAAAAAATATATTATTGAGCAAAAAATTATTTTGGCAATGATATTATATATTTACATTTTGTTATATAGTATTAATTAAATTGTTTTTATATGTTATAGGTATTTGAAAGTGTTATCAATTGGTTAAAACATGAATTGGGTTGCAGAAAACAATTTTTGCCAGAATTAATGGAACATGTAAGATTGCCATTAACTTCAAAAGCGTATGAGTCCGAATCTATTAGACAATGTAGTCGAAGAGTCTCTTCTAAAAAACCACCGACAAATTACAAAACAGGTAATTTTAACGGGATTTTAATTTATAACGCTTTGTTTATCACCATAGAAACGAATAAAAAATTATAATTTTAATTTTAATTTAACTTACAGGCTATAATAAATAATAATATTAAATATCCAAACTCCGCTTATAATCGTTTTTCCTATACAATGATATTATATCATTGATTTCAAGTTGAATACAATCCATTATACATTGACCCACTTGTAACCTACTGTACAGCAGAGCGACATTCACTTACCCGCTTTTTTATAATATATTATTCTATTTTATGATTATTGTGTATTATTATCATTTAATAAGTTCAATTAATTATTACAGCTTCATTTTGAACAAAGTCAATTTGAAAAAAAATTGTGCTGATAGCTGGAAGAAATTAAAACCAAATGCTGTTCTGACATTATTCAATGTCCCCCCCATCCTCCACCACAATTTGACATAGTGGCATAACAAAAGTGGTATATAATGTTTATTAAAATGGGACCCCAAGATTGTCACAGAGTTCATGCCAATATGCCATAGAACACAATGCCACCATGAGTAGAAACGACGGCTTCATGGCTACCAAATTTTTCTTCCAAACCGTAATGTTTTATTTACGTGATCTAATAACTATTGTTATGTTTTTTAATACCCAAATCTTGCCTTGCAAAACAAACAACATAATTTATAAAACATTTACTGCCATGATTATTTCTTGTACATACCCTAAAAAGTAAAACTTTGGGGTTACCAACAAGTTTTTTGTAATATACACAATATGTTTAATTTTTCAATTACTTACATAAAACTAATAAAAAATCTTCCAAAATGATACTCTTCTATGAGTTTGTGTGTGTGTTATAATCATACACATTTAAAGTAAGAGGCTTGTCAGCTCCCACTATTTGTTTTATCTCTTCTGGACCCAAGCGCAACATAAATTTTAGAGAAGCCCTAGACAATAACCTTAATTTTAAATTTTATAGGAGGACATCTCACCCTAATTTTAGTAATAATAATGAATAATTATTGTGAACGTACAATTTGTCAGTGGCAGCTCAAAATTGTGTAAGATTTGAAGCATATTGTATATTTTAAATATTTTTACCACCGTACCCTTCGTTGAACCAAAATTAGCAGCAGGGCCATTAATAATTATAATATTTGCCATGATATATTATTTGTTGAGGTCTTACGATTATATATATATATTTATACAACCACCCACCCATTTCAGACATGAAGCAATTGCTTCAAATAATCCTATATTCCGTATTTTATACATAGTGCTTGTGGGAGTAGACGTATAAATGTTTCTATGCTACCCAGTTAACAGATTGTCCTTGGCAATTAATATTTAATTTAACTAATTAAAGTCTAAAAAGTAAATGTAAATTAATAATAAACACACGCGTAAACCGACTCTTCCCTTGAAAACTATCTAGAGTTTCCACCACCGAAGAAACAGCTATCTTCATAATCACCTGAACATAACAAATTGTTTGCGTTTGTGTTATACCTTACATTATAATATATACGGCTTAACAAACTGTCTATCTATATTGACAAATTATTATTATTTTTGTTCATTGAAATTATTAGAATTGTCAATTGTTGATGACAAATATCGACAATTGACGATTGCCATAGATTATATAAAATATATTATTTATTATAATAAATCCTTAGAGCTTATATATTATACTCAGTACCTACCTATAATCTATATAAGGTCTATTGATAAATCGTATGTTCTTTTACAAATTCTTTGTGATGCAAGATCAAATTTTAATCCCAATCGCGCAACACTAAAATACTTTGCAAATCAATTTTCATTCAACTAGCGTTATTTAATTATATTTTAACTACCTATAGGTATCTGTAACTAGTGTATTTTAAACTACATACATCACAATTTGTTTTACAGATTTATAAAATTTAAATATAAATTTAAACGCTATGGCACTTTTAATCATTGAATTCAAATGTTTACCATCAATATGTAAATTGTAAGATGGTCAATATTTAGCCCATTATTTACAAACAGATGGCTTTGTAGGCGTTTACTGTGAATTTATTTTTATTGTTATTTAATACAGTATCACTTGTTCTGTTTGTGATTAATTACATTTTTTTTTACAAGTAACAATATAAATTATTGTTTTGTGATATTGAACAACTGATAGAGCTCAAGCTGATATACAAGTAAAATAAAAGTAGACAGTTGTTTATAATAATTTGCATAAAATTCGAAGGTTGGATTGACCTAAATTTATAAGGGTTAGAATTAAGTCAGATCATTTTTATAGACTTTTAAGAAAATGTTAAAAAAATAATACGAAAGCTTTAATAGAAAAAATATTTTATATAATATAAATGATTTATTTATTTTTTCATAATTTTTTAAATACAATAATAATAATATTATATGTGTATATATATTCATTCATAATTAAATTTATTAGGTATGTTTCTAAACTTATATTAAAATATATTAATAACCAATAAACAATAAACATACCTGTAATTCAGACACTAAAATAACATAGTTCCATTTAGGGATGTTGTAACATAATTCTAAAATAAACGCTTGAGTACAATGAGATTTTTTAAAATAAAAATAAAATATAAATGACAATAAAAATTATTAAAAATATTAATATAATTGCTAATAAAAAAGATATCTATTTTAGGGTACTGTTGGGACAAACAAATGATTCGAAAATTGTGTAGAATTCATTGGCGAAATAAACATAACATTTAGAGGCATAATCGGTGGAGATGTTAACTAACCCTAACTTAAGTATTTCTGATTTTACCCGGCACATAACTTTTATCAATTACTGGTTCTTGTAGGAATATGTGTAGACATCTTTCATTTTGTGCCAATGGATGGCCAGCAATTCTGAAATCAAGAATACAAAAATGCAATTAATGATGGATAACATAATACCATTAATAAATAATAAATATCTATACTTTTATAATTAATAGCATTGATAAATACCACAAATTATGGTTTTTTTTTATGTAAACTTTAATTAAAATTATGCTGGTATTATTTCTATTTCATAATAATAAATAATATAGATATCAGAATATTATGACATATGTAATAAATATTAAATTAAATTTGTTAAAATATACTTGTTTATAAAAACTTCAAGGCCTTTTCGCCGTTCTTCAATAAATTCTTCTTCAAATATACCATCATCATTTCGGAACGGCATTTGTCTTTTCCATGCCTTACCAGGTAATGGAGGTACAACAATCTGAAAAACACATTTTGATAATAAGAAAACACAATTAACGTAGTTTAATAAATCAATGTATTTATTTTAAACTAATTCTACCCACATTTTAACATAATAATAATTTGTGATAATCAAAAATAATATTTTTTGGTTTTCAAATATAATTCTCGTAAGATAAATCCACAGATTATATAAAAATGAATGTATGTCTGTCTGTCTGAGTGTCCATATTACCATGGCAACCAATTCTGGCAGGAGATAGAATGTCTGTCTGTGTGTGTGTGTCCTTTGGTTGCCATGGTTACCATGGCTTTTGAAACTATTATAAAAATAATTTATTATTGGTTACCGTGCAACGAAATTACACGAGATCATTTGGTACAGGCATAGGTTAGACCTCTGGGCAGAAGATACGCTATTTTAAAACGGTAGAGGACCAACCCCGGGAGGTGTTCAAACAGGGATTTTGAGATTTCCGATGGAAGTTTTTGTTTGTAAATGGTTGTCGTGGGTTTCAAAGCTAATACTTATTGTTAGCCATTGTTTTAAAATTGTTGTCATAGTAAAATAACACAATATATTATTCTTATTATAGAGTTGGCATTTTTAATGGGCAGCGAAGTGCACGGGATCAGATATAATATAATTAAATATAATCTGCGATAAAATAGCAATGTAAAAAAAATTTATTCCCGCTTAAGATTTAAAATGTAATTTTACAATCTCTTTGGATTGTCAGTGTTACCACAATAATAGAATTAAATTTTTTTTTTATTATGATTACGCTCAAACCTATCAGTCTATTCGTTAATTCGTTACTCAGAGTAATACTAATCAGTATTCAGCTCATAACTCGTAAGCATCAAGTTGCGGTCTATCTATTCAAATTGTAATTTGGGTGTTTTGTTCTGTTAAATTTATTACTGTGATTTTAGTTAATATTGAGTATTTACGTAGTTTATAAATATTTTAAATAAAAAAAAACTAGTGTCATGTAGTTTAACAAGTGACTCACAAATTAAAAAAAATGACATTTTTAGAGACTACTGCTGTACCAAACACATCGGCAAATGAGATTCAAGAAAACGTTACTACTCATAACATCCTTGTTCTAACAATAATAACTCATTACATAAGAGACTATTCAAAGAGATATCCAATATCTACTGACGAGCCTGCTGATGATGTGTGGTTCTCAAAGTTCCATCGTACATTTAGTATGCTTGCCTTACACTTAATCCAATGTCCTGATCTTACGTTTGGAGAATTAATCAATTTAATATCATGCGGAAAATACCAACTACCTCCAACCTTCATTCAAACTTTTCACTTGGAAGTATATCATATGATCAATACTAATCTAACTATTATAGGAGAAATGTTCAAAAATATGGATGGTACCTCATTGGATAACGGATTACCAAAAGTACATGAATTGAAAATTGTTAATAGCAGTAGTCCCGTTGGCATATTTTTACGGCGTGTAATGGTATTCTTCAACAAAATGCAGTTTTTACAGACTGAAGCTGTTATAAAGGAAGTAAAAGCCCATTGCAGTCCAATATTGAACAAAATTCCGGTAAGAATTATGGCAAACTACATTTTGTATTCTAAATTCATATAAATAAATAATTCATATCATAAAATAATTTTTCAGGGACTTAAAACCAAAAAAGTAGGATCAAATGACAAAGAAGAACTTAGTCCAGAAGCTGTAGAAATGATAAAAATAACAAAGACAATCAACGAAATTATTGAAATGATTAACATAAATTATCAGGCAAGTTTTCATCAAAATAGTAAGTACAATAAAGCTCGTTCTTGGTCTCCACGACAAGTAGAACTCTTTATTGCACAACAAGTTAAACTATTGAAAATTAATGAATCTGTTGCCCTTGATCCCCCAACTCTACAACAAAAACTAAAAGACATTCTGAGAGCCAATCCAGACCATTTTGACGTACATTATTTAAACTATCTTAATTGCTTGAGGGTGAAAGAATATTGTGGAGCAGTAAATAGTGTACAACATTATTTTAGTCGTCAAACTTTTAGGGTTATAAATTTAGATGAAAAAAGTAGAGGTTATCAATATACATCTCTTAATATGGCCATATTGAACGCATTTTTCAATCATAATGATGAAGCTATAAGTTATTTAAAAGAAAGTATAGCAGTAGCTCATCAAGTAAATGATCATGTTTGCCTACAGCATGCACTCATGTGGATGTACACATTGAGTAAAAAGAACAAGTCAACTATGTTGAGATGTTCGGTAACTAGAAGCAAAGAATTAGAACTGCATCAGATAACTTCATTTAGCTTACAATCAATGGCTCAATATTTGGTTGAAAACTCTGAAACTCCAGCAATAGTCTTCGAAATATTAAAGAAAAGCGAAATATATAATTATTTTAATGGTTTGACTGATCTGCGAATGACAAATAATGTACAAAAAGCAGCGATTTGGAATATGTATGGTTATCAACGTATATCAACAATTCATTCTTTATTAGTCTTAGAACATGATCAATGTAACAAAGATGTTTATAATATAGAAAGTAAATGTATAGCCATGTGCAATATCATTAATGATTTGATTGCTCACGGTGATTATTATCTTGCTCCCATATTAATCAATGAAGTTTCTCATATTTTTCCATACACACATAGTAAATTCTGGATAATGGCCGAACAGTATTTAAATTTTACATTAGCTATGAATAAGGAAGAATGGCCTAAAGCAGAATTAGCAGCTAAACAAATGGCGTCTGTTAATGTAACAGAAAGTGTATTACGATTAGGAGAGATGTATTTGAAAAAAGAAGACTTTGTTACAGCTACTAATATGGTAAAAGAGTTAATGGAGCATAATGAAGAAAACACAGTACTAACTAGATTGCGGGCATACGTAATTGTTGCCAAAGCAAATGAAAGTGCAGCTCTAAATTTACTTATGGACGCAAAATTGATAGCTATTGAATATCATTTGATGTATATGACTGCAATTATAAATGTTGAGATAGCAATTGTTTTGATGAAATATGATTTTCCTCATAAAGCATTAAGATTGTTACAAGAGACAAAACAACATATTTATTGTGGCATCAATGTTTATGATAAGGCATACACAGATTTACAAATTATTAAAGCGAAGATGATGGTTAACATAGTTGATGAGCTTGATCACAGTCGAGAGTTTTTAAATAAAATTTATAATAAATTAAATACAATTGCAGACAAATTTCGATCAATAGAAGCTATCACAGAGTTAAAAGAAATAACATATTTACAAGCATTAATAGCAGATGAATTGGATATGAAACAAAACCGAAACAAGCATGCAATGGAATTTAGGCACTTGGAAGAATACAAAGTTCAACAGTAATGAATGATACAATACAAAATAATTAAACATATTCGTATACTGTTTTTATGCTAAATTACGATATTGTATTGAATTTGTAATAATATAATAAATTGAAAGTTGTAACTATTGTAACTAAGAAATGTGCACTTTGTTCTTTCACATTGAAACTAAATAAAACATTTTTATTTGTTCATTAGTTATTTTTGTATACAAGTATTCAACTAAACCTCAACTTTTTAATACTACGTAAATTACTAAACAAAAGTAAAATAGATTGGTGTTCAGTTTTTAAAGGGAGTAAAAATGCATGTTCAATAAGTATAAATATTAAAAGGTTATTTATTTATATTCAATTTAAGTTAATAAAATGCAGTACTTACGTATTATAGGAAATATTAAGTATATGGCTAATTAATTAATTATTGTTGATTTAAACAATTTATTATTATTTATTCAACTTACATTATTCGTAAGTCATGCTGGAGAACATTTTGGAAGTTAAATGCAGAGGCGTGCTAAGGAAGATAATATTTTTTCACCAAATAGATCTGAGTATAAATATTTTATTATAAAAAGTGAAAAAAACTGACAGGAAAATATGATATTTTATTTGTTATTATCAATTAAATTTTCCATTCTTTGTATAATTTTATATGTAATCAAAAATTTCCTCATTAAAATAATGTAAGAATAATTGTAGATACATTTTTATTTTCAATCTGAACTAGTCTTAAACTTACACACTAACCACCAGCAGCATCTGTAAATTGCCAAAGTATTCCTTTAGATAACCAAATTTATTTTGAAAGCATAATTGAGATTTTCTATTTTTATGATTTAAAAGTTAGTGTTTGTATTTATTACCAATGATTATTGTACAGATATTTCTAATGAAAAATCAATAAATTAAAAACATAATAATTTACTAACTATAGTAGATATCAGTTCTACAGTCTTTGACTATTGGAATTTGGAAGTATAATAACACAAATGCTAGGAAACTAAAAAATTGTTAAGAGGAAGCTAACCCACATGTGTTGTCTTCGTCTTACAAATGTACAACATAGCAAAAACTGTTTTGGCGAGGGAAAGAACCAAGAAACAAAATTTTCACCATATAAAAAAAAACCTTTGACTGTGCGATATTGTTTTTATTTTTTTAATATTTGAACTTCTAAAAATGTTAACCGTTTGAAAAACAAAAACAATAATGGATTTTGAATCAATAAGAATATTTTTAGTATAAGTGATCAAAATTATAAAAACGATATTATATATTATATAGATAAAGATATTGTATAATTTATTACCTAAAAATAAAAACAATTTACCTGCATTTTTTTAAAATTTAAGGGCATTAGAGCATTAGGTTAGAGCATTACATTCACAGCCATAGTTATGACTAGCTTTCTCGGTTCTTACTCGTGCAAAACAGTTTTTGCTATGTTGTACATTTATAATACCGAGACAACACATAGGTACTCTTATGGGTATTATTAAAATGCATTACAATAGTAGTAAACTAGAAATTAAACTAAATAAGGATTATGTTTATTCAAGACTAAATAGTAATTACTAAATTTTGGATCAAATATATCATTCATTAAATAATATTTTTTTAAAAATTAACAAAACTTTAAAACTATTGATGAATTGTTTATTTTAAATTTAAAAATTTGTTTTACCTACTAATAAACACAGTCCCATAATATAATATTGACTTAAATTTATTACCTTAGATTCATTAGAAAAGTTATTAAGACAAATATTCTAACAATAATAACTTATAACTCATAATATAGCCACAAAGATTTATCCATAATATAATATATTATGATGTAATATTGACATTAGAATAAGTTGGAAATACACATTACCTTACTGTCTCGTTCTAGTTCATTGCGCAACCATTCAAAATCACTGTAACGTCTACGGACACTGGATTCTTTGACCTTAAACACTGGTAGGTTTGTCTAAAAACAATCAAACAGTAGCCACATGAGTGACATCAGTAAATACGTTCTACCCAACACAGGGACTAAACTTTATACAAGGCAACTCACTCGCATGCGAACTTCATAGTCAGTGTATCGTTTTTTGGCCACACCGTGAGTTATCGGGTTCAGAATATCAATTTCTAAAAAATTGGCCGGAGCCGCATACGCATCATCCAATGTTTGCTTCTTGACGTTCAACCGTCTGGTAGCCTCGGCTGTGTCAACCATAGTTTTTTTTTATGTTATAGACGTCCCTTTCACAGTAATAAAGTCGATCGTTGGGCTGCGATCGTACCCGCGAGATGAGCGAAAAAATGTTTTTTTTATTTCGCGCGGAAGAGGAGTATCGATGCGTCCTTGGTACCGGTACACTAGAACAGGAGCAGCAATCGATGACGTAACGACAAAAACCGGCAGACTTGAATGAACAAAAAAAAAAAAAAACCAGAAATGGTAAATAACTATCGCAGAATAATTGGTATTTCCTGTTGATCTGAAGAATTCTTGTCGACAGCCTACGACGTGATAACGCAACAATTGAATTATAATATAATATATATATACGTATATATATATATATACTATAAATAAAAACGTGCACAATATAATTCGTAGCAATTATAATAACAGACCAAATTTCGTTTGGTCGGGAGTTCAGACGATTGTGCCGTCGATGATAATGGGTAGAAATTAATACGACAAATTTAGAAACTAAATAATTTATATCCGAGGATTCTCAAACACGACCACTGTCGTGAAAATCGGGAAATGATCGACAGACGAGATAACGATGGGATGACACGCATGGCCAAGCTTGCCAACCGACTATAAACTGTTCGACCTGATAATGAGCATTGATAACGGTGAGAGCGCGCGCGACACGGCTCCTGCTGATAAAAATATCTTTCAACCAAACAACTGACAACCCATTTCAATGATTTAATATTTATTATTAATTAATATTTATTACTGTTATTCATTATTCATTATTCGATTTTTCGGATATATAGATTAGATTTCACCTGCGAATCGTTTCTTAGGGTTTTCAGATGACGTTCATCATTGAAATTTACTGACTAACCATGGACCGACGGCACGTACTACACTTTCCGTTGCGTTATTGACATCGCCGTCACTGAAATAATATAAATTTGGTAACCTTTGCTCGGACGTTTTTTGGCCGGACGATTGCCATGGACTTTTTCGCACTAATCGCCATCGTCTTGGCCTTCTACGTCGCTCTTATGTTTTTGGATTTCACGTTCAAGGTGGGTGAAGTTTAGTTATGATTTTGTAGTTTGCATAATATGATGAGTGCCTCTGTTTAATTGATCATCGTCGTTAATAAACTGATTGCCAATCTCGGTAGGAGATCTTGAGGCTAAAGATCGGTCAATAGGTTTGATGACAAATAATGACAGAACGCCCGAAACAGACATTTTTATTAATTGTTATGATATTTTTGCATGTTTTTTTTAGTCCTGTTCACACTATCCGTACTTGATGTTAATACAAAAGACAGGATTAAGTGTTGGGCCTTTTCAATTACGATGGTACACAACGTCGTTGAATCGTCTTATATTGAAAATGTCATTTTGGCATCCAAAATTCCAAACCAATTGGTTCACTTTCGGGTCTTGGATTACTATTTGTATGATTATACCATCTATATGTCTGGTTATTGTATCTTCTGCCCAATTGTGTAAAAAAATATTCACAGAGCCTACTAGTGAACCATCAGGCAACCAGCAAGATACATTTCTTGAACCAATAGTAAGTGAAATATCCAAAATTGTATATAAAGTTTTTCTTAATTAAATATATTTTCAGTTACCTGGGATCAATTTACCAATGTCAGACTTAAGCTATTATGTATTTGCACTTATGTTTTCGACAGTTTTCCATGAACTAGGTCATGCATTAGCAGCAATCAGGTATTTGACTTTTATAATATTAGTTATTTCTCATACTTGTGCACGTATTAGGTATGTCCTCTAAACACTTATTAAACTTGAGTTATTATTGTGAACAGGGAAGACATGCATGTGGAAGGTGTTGGTTTAATGTTTATATTGATTTTACCTGTGGCTTATGTTCATTTGGATGACATTACCTCGTTGCCAAGTAGCAAACAGCTTCGAGTTATGTCGGCCGGCGTGTGGCACAACATAGTTCAAGCTCTCATGGCCTATCTTGTTTTATGGCTCTTACCATATATGTTGTTTCCATTTTTTACAGTAGGGCATGGTGTCATGACCACCCAAATAAATCAGGTAACCAGCAATAAAACAAATATTTTACTTTTGATTGTTTTAAATTAAACTTTGTACTAAAGACAATCTCATTAAGGAAATTCCACACCAACATATTTTGAATAATATTATCTTTCAAATAAGTATCTCAAAATATAAAATATTAATATTAATAACTAAAAATATTCTATTATTCATTTTAAGACTACCTTTTTGGTTTTGTGTGAGTGTGTGTTACTATTTAACATAATATAATATAGATTCTTTGGTGCCCTACGACATAAAAGTATAATTTTAAAACTACATTATAAACAATTTTAAATTGTTATTATAATATGCAATAATATGGTAATAAATTAATGATATTTTCTATGTATAAATTGTTTTTAGAAATCAGGTGTTAATGGGCAAGGAGGACTAGTTACTGGTGATGTTATTACAAAATTGGGGAACTGTGATGTGCATGATTTTGATTCTTGGATAGATTGTTTAAATCGCACTAAGACAAGTGTAGATTCTGGATTTTGTTTGTCACCAGAATTTGTTCAACATCATGACGAAACAAAACCAGGTAAATATAAAATTATGATTTTCAAAATGTTTTATATTACTCAATATTTACTAATTCAAAGATTAATAATTATTTTAGTGCATTATGTAGATGAATATATAATAAACTGCTGTGATCCAAACTCAAAGACCAATTTGTGTTTTGAGTATATTGAATCGCTGTCCAATCCTCAAGAACTACCAAATCATTCCTGCTTAAATGTTAGAAAAGTTATAGAAAGGTCAACATCACCCTGTGATGCTGATAACCAATGTTCATCTGCCCATTGTTATTTTCCTGCAATTCGTAAGAATCATAAACTTGTGGTTATCAAACGTGAAAAAAAAAACGAAGTCTTATTTCTTGGACAGCCTACAGAACTGCAATACATATCTGTTACCCAATATGTACCCAAGACTGATTATCTACCAATTAGTATACCGGAATCCATTGAAAAATTTTGTAAATACCTAATAATGTTTGCAGGAGGTTTAGCCGTCATAAACGTAATACCCTGTTTTTATTTTGACGGAGAAAAAATATCAAGGGTATTAGTGAATACAATGCTGAAGGAACACGTTGAACACTTGAGTGTTCGATTAGCAATTTCTATTTGTTTGACAATTTTTGGTTCTTTAATATTGATTATTTATATGATATTAGGGTTTTGGTCTCTGATAAAAATTATAAACTAGATATGTACTGTTTGCCTAAAATTATAAATTGTTCCTACTTTCTACTAACGGTCAGGGGGCAACATTATTACTCTTACCAAATTTCAAAAATGTATTTATTTTTATTATTTTTCAAAATACGTTTGAACTGAAGTTGATAAGACGTGTATTTTTTATATTTATATTATGTAACTTATTCTAATTGTAGATTTTTTAATGTAATCTTAAGAAAGTGCCTGTTTTGTATTTCTTAAAGAATTAATAGGTATTAGAATATTATACATTGAACATTTTATTATTGAAATAATTTTTTAAGCTAATTTATTATTATTATTATTATTATATTTATTTAATGACTGACAACATGTATATTTTATTATTATAGAATATTATAATATTTTGAATTAGATAAATTTTCAATGAAAAAATAATAAAACTTGTTAACCTTACTTTTTTTAATTGTTATGTTTAGATACCAAATGTCCAAATATATTTGTGAACTAGGCAATAGCTATCCTAGACCCTAGTCTTATTTTATTTATTATGTAAATATTAAATATCAAATATGTACCTATATATTTATAATATTAGTTACTAATATACTATTATGAAAATAATATATTATTATTAGTCATTTTGTCTATAAGTAACAAACAAGTTTAATTTATATGATACTTTTACCAAATAACTTCTATGGAATTAATAATATGAATCAATTAAATTTTTTTATAGCTACATTATTTTCTGTTATTGCTGTATGGCTGTACTTGTAAATTGTAATTATTCTTCAATAAAATTGTACCTATATTTCATTTTTACAAAATGTTGTCTTTTTAATCCTGAAAGTTTATTGAAAGGTAATAACCTACCTGGTCCAATTATGAATCTAAACCTTCCTCTTGAATCACTCTATCAACTAAAAAAAAACTGCATCAAAGCCGTTGCGTACCTTGTTTTAAGATCTAACCATAAAGACAGACAGCGGGACTTAGTTTTGTACTATTTTAAACTATTGTTATGAAGTATGTACACCTAAAATAATACAAATAATACCATAATGAATTATGTCTATATAATGTACATATATTATTATTGTGATCGATTGAGGGACCGGACGATACCTACCAGTAGATGACCTACTATGCAGCCACCAAATGCATAAAATAAACAACAAAAATCTTCGAAGCGTCCGTAATTATTTATATTATGTAAATACACAGCTAGGGACTCACCCATGTACCTACAAATTATAATCGGACTCCTACGCTCACACACTCGTCGAGTTCTACAGCGGGACTGCCTCGTGTCTGTGAGATGTGGAGGTATTATAATATGCACAAATAATAGTGTCATCTCACAACATATTTATAGTTTCACTGGTTCGACCAATTATTTACTTATTTGCTAAATTATTTCTATTTTACATATTATATTATTCAATATATATATAGGTATGTATAATGATTTAAAATGTTAGGCTGTCTAAGGTATAATACAAGTTACAACTTACAACACAAGATTCTACATAAGTTTTTCTACCTTTAACAAAAAAAAAATGTTTATCAAAAATCAAATTAAGTTTGTGAGGGCATTTGATATTTTATTTTTTTCTTATTCAGTATTCATCCGTCAATTAACGAATATTTCCATGGAATGATTTTCTTATTTTGTTTATTTGTAGTTATTCAAAAACGATTAACTTACTCCTTATGCGTATAGAATATAGATACATGAAATATTCACGAAGTGTTTATTTTATAAATATGATAGCATTTTCAAAATATTTTTGGGCTACCTACCTATATTCAATTTTCTATTTTTTAAAAAAATTTTTTTTTTCTATAAATGGCAATTTATAAGGCGCCTCATAAGTCATAAGTATTTCATAGTGGAAGCAAAAAATCTAAAAATTATTCAAACACATTTTTTTATATTGATATTTTTATTTAAAAATTTGGACAAAATTGGATATTTAAACAAAGAATAACAATTTTAGTTATTTTGTTGCAATTTAAAAATATTATTCATTGGTACTTGAAACTTTTAAAGTACCTACCTATTCCCCATCTTCTTTTAAGAAATACTATTTAGAAAAAGAGTTGTTTAAGAAGACAATGGATATGAGCAGTCTTGTAAAGTATTCGAATAAAAGTATTTGAATACTCTTTTTGTATTCGAATACTATTCTAAATACTTTTTTTTAAAAGTATTCGAATACGTATTCTGAATACTTTTATTTGTATTTTTTATTCATTAAAAAAATACTTTTTCCGATCCAGTAAAATAGTTTTAAATTTGTGACAAGGAATCTTATAAATCATGAACATTAATTTTATTCTTTGAAAGAAATATAATTTTGGCCCATGATATGATTATTTTTATAAATAAAAATGTGTTTTATCACGTATAGTTCGTATCGGCCGTATCATATGTGGTCAAAATTTATAAATAGCTTATGATTACAAAGTAATTTTAATCATTAATTAATAAATGTTAATTAGTAATTACCAACCATTCAAAAACTGACAACAATTATTTGTGAAAAAAAGTATTCTAATAGTATTCGAATACTTTTTAAAGTATTCGAATATGTATTCTGAATATATTTTTTAAGAACTATTCGAATACGTATTCTGAATACCTTAATTCTCATTTATTCGAATATGTATTCCGAATACAAAATAAAAGTATTCTTTACAAGACTGGATATGAGACATTGTATAATTAATAATAATGTACAAAAATAAAAGTAATAGCGAACAAAATAAAGTATATTTTAAATATAATAAAAATACATGACGACGAGCTGTAATTTATGGTATATATATATATATATATATGTTGTCTGCAAGTCTATTACATATGAGGTGTGTCCATATAATATTCTTGAGGACGAATTCTCATGTTTGCCAGGTTAGTGGAAACCATGTAACCGGCATGGTGATGGTGGTGATGGTGGTGGTTCGGTACTAGACAGTTTGAAACTGCCATCGACATCGAAGGATTACCGTGGGCATGACTACCTGTTGAATAATACAAAACTTGATCACAGAAATAATTTTTTCTAACTTTTTTTTGACTCCTTAAAACATTTTACAAGGAGTACAATTTATAGCAAATGGTATAGTGAGACAGTGTTTTAGATATTAAGAAATTAAAATGCAATCGCATAAGCGTGAAATATAATGCCTTCATTAAATTAGTAAGGTAATTATTAAAAAGAAGATACAGTATTGTATCATACGAAGTGACCGGTGGGGTGCGAAAAACGTAAACAAGTTTACAAGTGAGTGGGGCAAGCTGCCGGCCGGGACACGGAATGAGAATATGAGATACCTAGATACGAGGTCAAGTGTCAACTGCTCGAAGGGAAGAAATAAAAGAAGTATCTGCATAAATACGGTAAGAGGCAAGGATTGGGGTGCCTAGGGTAGAGAAAATAGTGGAGTTTCAAGAGTGTCCAGGTGGGTGGTGGATTTTAAGAACTAAGGTAGATAGCGTTTGATAGAAAACGGGTATGGACATGTTCATAATATACGTAGTTGACACTTGACACGATTTAAGATAGTAGATGTAGAACTATTACTATTTAGTATTTACTATCTTAAATCGTGGTAGACCGTGGTAGTTGATTACTTGCCAATTACAGATGGTAAACAATCATATTCCCAAACAGACAAGATATAATTATTGATAGTGAATAAAATAAAAAGCGGGGGACGAGGTGGCCGAGCGGTCGGACACGTCGTCTGCGGCGCTGGCGGTCGCGGGCGGGTTCGATCCTCTCGACCACTGTGCGGTATTTTTCTCCGGGCAAGTCACGGTGTCCGGAGAACAAGTGCCGCCATCCCCCACTCCGGGGCATGGCAGAAACCTACGAGTGCCCCATTCAAAATTCTGCCAAAATCCAACACACACGTGTTCCTCCCCCTACCGTAATAACAACACACAAAAATAAACCACTAACACCCAATGGCCTATGTTGCCGCGGGTTATCCAATAAAAAAAAAAAAAAAATAAAAATAAAAAGCAACACGACCTATAAATGATGTATAGCTATTAGTTCCATAGGTTATAGTGTTATACACCCGATTTCGACAGGGAAAAAAGGATAAAATACGACGCTATATGTGGGGCATTGGCAAATCAGTGTCGATGTAAATATCTTTGTGAACTATTATTATACAACCTACCTATTATATATTTTTTAATACAACATTGTAACAACATTTTCAAAACTAAATCTAGCCAGTATATCTATTATATAACTTAACATTTTCTTGGACCTCGCATATAGCCATATAGGTACTTACATTTTATCGATAAAGACAAAAAATATAATATATAGCCATATAGGTATACGTTTGACGACTGTATAATTTTAGTTATGTTTAATAAATATCAAGAGTATAATTTTGAGTTTTAATTTTGATAATTTAAAAACAAATGTCGAACATATATAGGTAGGTACACAGAGAATATAAGATAAATATAAATCTAAATATTTTTAAATTTTTGATTTTTTCTTACAATAAACTAAGAAGGCATATATTTTTGTTCTTCCAAGGGCTATGCTCGGTCTTATCCGGCACTGCCTTTGCCTATATGTAGATACCTATTATAGAACAGTATCCATCACTATTTTTTTTATAGTTTGAAGTCGGTATCTTATAAGTTATAATATATATGTATTATGTATAATATAGGTAGCATACCTATAGGCTGCAGTAGGCATATCGCAAATAGTATTAAATATTATTATAGTTATCCAAATCCAACAATAATAATATATTTATATTTAGACTCGAATCGATATTTACTCGATATAGATACCTGTGGTGGAGACTGCTGCAGGTAAGAAAGCCGGGTAACTTGACGAATGCTGAAACATTCCACACTGTGACAAGCCGTTCGATTTCCACGCCGAGTACTCCAGGAGACCGCCAAAACCGGAGCCTGTATAAACACGTTTTGTTTAGATTAGGTTAAATGTATAATAATTTAAATTTAAAACTATGTTCGCATTTCATTTTCATTTTGCCTAATATGGAGACTGTGGAGTGCTACTTTTTCGCTATATTTTAGATTCTGATTGGAATGATGAATGTATTGATTTTACAATGATGTGTGTGTTTTAGATTCTGAGTGAAACGATGAATGTATTGATTTTACAATGATGTGTGTTTTTTCATCACGTTTTAGGACAGTAAAAGTGCTTGGATTTTCTTCATCAGTAGCTTTTCTGATAGGAAAGTGAATCTAGTTGGTACTTTGGGGGGTCAAAAGTATAAATTTCCCAGTAGTTTTCACAAGCGCCGGGAAAAACAACATAAAAATTAAGGAAAAACGGGAATTTTTACGCAAAATTGGTTTTCCAAAAGATCGATTTTGGTTTTTGGTGTAACTCTAAAACAAATGAACGTATTTACATGAAATTTTCACTGGTTGTTTATATTTGCATTTTCTATACACGATAACATTTTCAAAATATTTTGATTTATTTTGAACTGTTTAGGGACATTTTCATTTTCCATTTTTTTTTAGTTTTTTTTCTAAAAATATCAATAAAATTTTATTTGTTGGTTGCGAAAGCTTGAAAATTTAATAGAAGACTCCTAATATATTGTTTCAAAGGCAGATGAAAAATATTAAAAATCCTTTGTCACAATTTTTTTTTATAAGCATTTAAAGTTCAAAAATTGACAAAATATGGAAAAATCACGAAAATTAGCAAATTATTTTGAGTTAAGAATTCGTAAAAATGTTTCTTTTTAAATCTAAGATTTTAAAATGAAACACAAGATTCCTTATAAGATTATCTACCTTTATCAAAAGAAAAATGTCTATAAGAAAGTCAAATTAAATTTTTATGAGCGTTTGAAATTCAAATTTTTACAACATTGGATGTTCACTCGATTTCTCATGTACCGATTTCCTTATTTTGTTGTAATTCAAAAACAAATAACTGTAGATACATGAAAATTTCACTGAATGTTTATATTAGCATTTCCTATACACCATACAATTTTGAAAATATTTTGACTCTTTTTGAGCTGTTTATGGACATTTACAGCTTTCAATTTTTTTTTTAGTTTATTTTTCTATAAATATCAATAAAGTTTTATCTGTTGGGCCAAAAAGTGTAAACAATTAATACAAGGCTCCTGATATATTTTTACAATAGCAATTGAAAAATATTAAAAATACATAGGCACAATTTTTTTTTATAAGCATTTAAAGATCGCATTTTGACAAAATTTATCAAAATCTCGAAAATTATCAACCATCGTAATTAATAAATTATAAAGTGTTCAGTTTTTATAGCTAAGGATTGAAAATTTAAAAAAAAGATTCTCATAAATAGTTCATACTGTAGCCAAAAAATCTAAAAAATATATGAGCACAGTTATTTTTTACAGACATTTTAAGTTCAAATTTGGGACGAAATTACATATTAAAAAACCTAGCATATCTATTTTAGTTATTTTATTGTGAGTGTATAATACTATTCGTGGGTACTTGAAACTTCTAAAGTACACTATATTATATATCTATGATAGTATCAGGGTTTGTTATTGATGTATAACGTGTTATAAGTACCTAATGGATATTGTGATATGATTAATTTGGAATTTATTATAGGTAAATTTTTTTTTTAATACCATAGATCTGTATATAATATGTCTTAAACCTAGACTGACATACCGTCTTCGCTCAGAATCGTTTTTCTTATACAATGATATTTTATCATTGAATTCAAATTTAATAGCATCCATTATACAGTGACCCACTTATAACCTACTGTACAGCAGAGAGACATCCACTTACCCACCTTTTTTTTATTTTATTTTTATTTTTGTGTCCGTCATCAACTTTTAGGACATGTCTTTACTGCAGTAAAAGTGCTTAGATTTTCTTCAACAGTATCTTTTATGAAAGGAAAGTGGATCTAGTTGGTACTTTGGGGGTTAAAAGTAAAATTTTTCCAGTAGTTTTCAAGAGCGCCGTGAAAAACAAAAGAAAAATAAAGGAAAAACGGAAAGAATTTGTACTCAAAATCTGTTTTCAAAAAAATCAATTTTGGTTTTTGGTGCCACTCTTAAACAAATGACCGTAGGTAGGTACATGATATTTTGACTGAATGTTTATATTAGCATTTTATATACACCATACAATTTTGAAAATAATTTCACTCTTTTTGAGCTGTTTACGGACATTGTCAGTTTTCAATTTTTTAAATTTTTTTTTTCTATAAATATCAATAAAATTTTGTAAAAAAGCTTAAAATTTTAATGCAAGGCTCCTGATATATTGTTACAATAGCAGTTGAAAATAGTATTAAAAATACATAGGCACAATTTTTTTTTTTATAAGCATTTATAGTTCTAATTTTGACAATTTTGACATTTTGACAATGTATCTCACATTTAAAATTTAATAGTAATTTTATAGTTAAAAATGTATAAAATGTTCCACTTTTATAGCTAAGGATTGAAAATTTAAAACAAGATTCCACGTAAATAGGTTATATACTTATATATAAATTACTTTATTCACCTTAATATTCTACTTCACTAATACACTCATCATTATCATAATATAAATAAACAAATATAATTATAATTGATACCTATTTCAATAATCACCAATTAGATTGTAGATAGCGACAAAATAATGATAATTTTCGATACGCTAACCGGAAATGTAACCAGACATATACCGTAAATAGATCAGTGGTCGGGAGTAGAGCGCTAATAGTAGCGACGTTACAGTAGCACGCTATAGTATTTCGCTACCAATCTAAGCCGTAATGTAGCGACCCTACAAATTAAGTAGCGTGCTACTGTAGCGTCGCTACTATTAGCGCTCTACTCCCGACCACTGATCTATATGATAGCCGATAGGTGTTATACTCACCAGCTGTAAACGGAGGTTCCGCGTGAACGACGTTCGTATTTGACCTGGGTAAAAGGGGTTGTTCTACGTTCGGAGATCTGCAATCGGGTACGGTTGATAGTGTGGGGTTGTTCCTCGACAGACTACTTCTCTCGTTCCTTCGGAATTTCGCCCTCCGGTTTTGAAACCAAACCTGATCGGGAGGTAAATGTCTAAATTTAGAGTTTATATTATAATATACCCTACATGTCAGCTGTATGTCCTCACTCCTCTGCGTATATTATAGTGGCTGCTGTTAATCTACAATAACGATTTGATTTCGATCCATGCATATCATCTGTTGATTATTGTCTATGTATTCAACTCATAGGCAATAATCATGCGTAACGCTTGATACATTTTTTTGCGAAAACAGTAGGTCACACTGTCGCACCAGGTAGGAGCGTATAGGTACAGTTATAATTATTTATAAAATATAAATAGATATGGATTTCACGTTTCGTTTTGTTTTTAAACACGATTCAACCCAAGTCCCAATAAGTGAGTCCAGAAGTCGCCATTTTAATGTGGTTGTATGTATAATATGTAAGGTTACAGAAATAATTGTGCTATTTCAGTGTTACCTATATATTGTTAATTCCTTGCAGTCAAATTAGTCTTTTCTATTTAATCGGATTTCTTTTTATAAGGCATATTCTCGATCTAAAGACCAGTGGATCGCTTCGACGGTTGCCACTTGGCCATTGTGGTACGAGGATGATTTGTTTACAATATTTATAAACATGAGTGTTATACCTAACATCAATCGTACATTCACTCTATAGTCTCTAAGTATTTCAATGTGTTCACTGTGTGTCTGTGTGTATTGTTTGTTGACTCGAAGGGTTTTACGTACCTATGAAATAATGTTACGTAGAGTTCTGTTGTGGAGCTGGGTTGGCCGCAGTCGCTACTCGTTAATGTGTGCTACTGTCAAGTCTCTAGCTCCCGAATGTGTGAATACCTACTCGGGTTTTTATAATAAAGAATCTTCACCCCACGTGTGTTATTCAAAACCAACCATACCCCCCCTCCCCCCCAAAAAAAAAAAATCCATAATTCCCAACCAAAACAAAACAAACAAATACTATAGGTAATGGCCATAATTGCCGATGCTTTAGAGTTTGGACTAATAAAAAAAAAAAATGTAATTTTACGAGATTTTTTTGATATTGTAATATTTGTATACAATACTACAGCAACAAGGCATCATAATATAGTTTAATCGAAAATTAATTTGGAAATAAATGTCTCGCGGGGTGCCACCATTGGGTGATTTCCCCCTCCCCTTAATCATCCCCATCACATTTACTTATTGTAATATATATAATTATAGATTGTAAATAAAATTTTTGTTCAATAAAAAAAAAAAATGTCTCAAATGGAAGCGAGCACATAATATTATGTGTATAAAATGTACACAGTGTCTTTGGACTTTGCCATTTTATAAATTGAACGTCTGAGGTCATGCGCATATCGTCTGCAAGAGTAAAAAATAAGTAGATATTTACTACCTATGTACTTTATAGTTTATATAATTTATTAATAATAACATATATAGTATATGCACCACACGAAGTTTATTTTTTCCATGGATGTACAATTATAGTAATTCTAGTACAACACACACACACACACACTCACACACTCTCTTAAATAGTCTGTACACACACATATATATATATATATAGGTATACGTTGTATAGTATACGTCTCTCATTCGAACGTTAATTGATTCGGACTCGAGCCCCGCACACGTGCATGCGCGCGGCGAACAATCCACGTTTATATTATACATAATATGCTTTATAATAATATATAATATAATTGTGTATAGCTGCTGCGGCGGCGTTCTCCTGTGTGTGTTATATTCGGTGTTTCACCGGGAGCTCAACATCTCTTGGACTCGAGCCCTCCGCTCGCGCGTCACGAAATCACTGGTCCGCGAATTCCGCCGGGCGGACTTGACAGCCTCCTCTCCGCAGACCGAACTTCCTTTGATTTACCGTGCGTAGGTATACACAGATCATATATTTCGTATACACACTCATATATATATATATATAAGATACTTGTTGAACGGGCGCCGACCGTCCAAATTAGGGACACATGTCAACACGTGTGTGTGAGAGAGACTTGAGTTGTGTGGTGTGTATGTGTGTGTGTGTACAAGAAACCCACACGCCACGTCGGCCACGTGCTTCTCTGTCGCTGCTGAGTATATATACATGAGTACATGACTACATGAGGTGATCGCGTCTCTGTCAATTAACTAAACGCGCCGGATTAAAAGTGCGACGGATGCGCCTGCAACAAGTGCGCACCCCGCCAGAGTACGACCGCGAATAGAATAGGTTTAGTATAGTGCGCCAGAGTTTGTCAATCATAATATTTTAAACTCTATTATTATTGTATAATATATAGTATTTTTCAAATTAAAATGGAAATTATCGTACAAAAAAAATTGTAACGAAGAATTGGTATTTTCTTAGGAAATTTAATTATTATAATATTATATGTCACATTTAACAATGCAATATTATAATAACAATTAGCAAATAAAAGTACTACCTATATATAGATAGTTATATAGAGAGTACTGATAGAAGCGGATTTTCTTTAAGTTTTTTCCTTTTCTGATAGGTAGGTAATATGGTTTTTACATACCTATACGGCTATACTTAAATAGGTACTTGCAGCCAAATATCTACTATAATTGTGTTTTTTTATACAATAATGTAATTTTTCATAATAAAAAAGTTGATGTTCGTACAAGAGTACCTACTTATTACTATTTATGTATTCGAGGACCTATATATTATGAAACCAGTGGCGCACACAAAGAAGGGTCACAATAACTGACAACTTTTCCACCCCAACCTCAACTAACCTATCCGTAATGTCTTCCTCGGTGGAAATTTATTTCTACAATAATTATATCATAATTATAAGTAGTGTAGTACATATTTAATTTCAAGAAAATTGTTATTAGCACAACCCCCTCTAAATAATCCTGTGTGTGATTGCGTGATGCTATAAATTTTAAAATTGTAAATAATATTTATTTCATTCTGTTGTGTAGTATAAGTTGTAGGTATGTATTTTATAGGGCCAAATTATTATTATTCCAAATAATATGTAGGTACAAAAGTATAATAATAGGCAGAACCAGCCTATTCAAACATTCCAAAACAAACAATAAACATCGATTAATGATGCCACGGGGAAAATAGAGGGATCTAAGTTGATATTTTTCTAAGAAATAATAAAGAAAACTAAAAGTTTTATACATCAATATATTATTATCTACAGGCTTACAGTTGGGTGTTTTAAATTATTTTAGATATTAATTTATACATATTTATTCCTAGTCAGTAGTCTACTGAATCCTCTAGGCTATACACTCAAAATATAAATATAATTGTACAATTTACTGACTTAATATACGCATACTATTATTATTTGACATTTGTTATATATTTAAGTATGCAAATTTATACTATAATTATCTATAAATAAATAACTATATATTTTTACTTATTTTTACTTATAGGTACTCTACAAGTACCTATTGCCTATGACACGGCAATACTAGATTTTTGTGATCGTTCAACTCCTTTTGAGTGTAACACATTGTGAAAGCAATGTATTTTTAAGTGTAGATTATAATATATTTTAATTTATAGCCATCCTGACCGGCGTTGTCACTTGTCCGTTAGATTCGCTTATAATTATGCGAACAGTATATTATCAGGTAGGCAATCTTCTTGGGGTGGATCGCTGACCCCGCGTATATTATACACCTGAGTTTATAATTTAACTCTAAAGTATCAAAGTTATACAATCAATTAATACAAAATCCTTACCTAACCTAACCTAACAGTACCTACTAAAATCCATTCAATATAAATAAACAAATACCAATCATTCGTATGTATAGATAAAGAAAAAAATGAAAAAAGTAAAAATTAGAAATAAACAATGTAAAAACAATACTACTAATAGTAGCATTGATTATATATAATCAATGATAATAGTAATTATTATTAAAACCAATGGCAACTGTATATAAACAAAATTAAAAAAAAAACAACAATGTAAAAAACAATTCAAACAATTTGTCCGCCGAAACCGTGGTTCAAACTTGAGTCCTCTGTTTGAACCCCTGTTTGAGAACCTCCCCTGTTTGTACATCTTATTTACCTTTTTCGAGACAAAATGTAGCCTATTTCCTTCTTCTGCAAGGTCTAATCTATCTCTGTACCAAATTTAATCTCAATCAGATAAACGGTTTAAGAATTCATAATGCATAAAGGAGTAAAGGACACAGGGACAGACATTGTTTGTCTTTTATATATACAGAAGATAAAATGCTTACTTGAACTCTAGCCTCTGACAGACAAACTCTTCTTGCCAGTTCCTCTCTGACAAACGCGTCTGGATAATGAGTCCTTTCAAACACTTTTTCTAATGCTCGCAACTGACAACTAGAAAATGTTGTACGATTTCTTCTCGGCTTACTTTTCCGTTGACCGTCTGTCTCTGAATTCGTTTCTAAAAACAAAAGTATAATGTTATATAATAGTTAAATAGTATAACTCTACCGGTACCAATAAATTATGTTTATTAATTATGACTTATGAATTTATGACGAATATCAACGAATATTATCTTCAATATAATAATAATAAATAATCTCGTATATAAATTAAATACTTAATGATAAGCCATAAGCACACACGTGATAATGTGGTATTACTTCTAAGTTCCAATAGTATATTATATTATTATTACTCGTAGGCATATAATTCAATAATTGCATATCAATATTGTTTCAAGTAGGTATTTACCTATGTACATTTTTAATTTCAAGATAAATAATAGCTTTTGTTTTGTTTGATGAAATACAATTATATTTCTCTAATTGTTTATTGACATATTATAACAATATATATATAGGTGATATAGGTGTATTATATATATATTCATAATATATATTATTCATTATTCAGGCATCCGTCACTCATCAATTTCAATTTTTTGACATTTACATCCCAAATACGATGAAGTTAAATAAGTCTTAATTGCCTTAAATATTTTCATTAGTGCATATAAATTAAACTCACCGTGAAATTAAAGCGTTCTACCGTTATGTACACATATTATTATTATTTTAGTTATGTACCTATATATATGAGGAGTTATATAATAATGTTTTGTTCATACTTCATACCTATACAAGTATACAACCCATTTCTAGTACAATAATTATATTTAAAACAATTATTATTTATGCTCCTTGCCTCCTTCTTCCAAAACTGTTTTGAATTTATATGATAATTATATTGCATAATATATGCAAGGTGTACCAAAATGATCAGATAAATTAAATAACTTTTGTTCTAACTTCTAATCATTATTAAAATTTTTTTTTATATATTTTATAGATGCTTGCGCTACAAGCACTGTATGGAATTTTTTATTCCAGGTACCTACTTAAAATTCATAATAGCCAGTTTTTAAATCTAATTTTTTTTTAAAAGTGATAGTAAAAATTTTTATAAATCTAGTGGTTTATATTTTGCAGTTTTTTAAAATATATATTTTTGGAGTAAACTAATTAAAAAAGTAGATAATAACTTTTTTTTAAATATCTTTTATGAAATTTTCAGCCAACGGTAAATCTTAAATTATTTATTATCTATATCTACATCATTTTTTTCATATACGTTTAACTAATAAGTAATAACTAGTATACATTTTTCTTTTTCATTTTAAAGTCTTTCTGGTAGGTACTTACACCCTGTATAGAAATATAAAATAAATCATAATATAGCTTAATATAATAATGTATATGTATTATTCTAAAACAAATTACAATATAGTATTAGGCATTAGTTACCGAAAATTTAAACATCCGACAAAAACCTGTTAATTGTTATATACCTTACAAGTTATGTAATATGGAATATATTATTATGGATACCTAATAGATAAACGACATACTTGTTAAAGTCTAACTTTGAAGTTATTCAATTTCATAAAAAGCTATTATAAATTATAATTACTCATAATATTATATTATGTTATATAAAATAAATTAATAAATAAAATGGGACCTTTAGTAGCACGAGTTGCAGGTTGGCCAAAGTCACTAACATGTCCTTGGGTCAATCATCGGCCGACGTCTGTGTAAGCTCCCGAGACCTGGATAGCCGGATGGGTGATCACCCTGAGTTTTAGGGACGAATCCTATATAGTATATACACGTGTTCCAAACCAACCATACCCTTCCCCGCAGTAAAAACCAGCTAATAAGTAATGACCATGTAGTTGAAGGCTTAAAAATGAAAATAATAAACTAATTAATAACAATTATTTTAGAGACATTCGAAATTGAAGCATATAGGTACAAAAAGTAAATAATCCAACAATTTGTTATCAATGAATACTTGGATCGTATATACTGTACTATGTTGATTTTAAAATTAATACTTAAGATCAAGTACTTAACAACAATATATAATATATGGACATATGGTGTTCAGAACAATTTTACTAAAATTAACTATATGCAGGAATCTATTTGTTGTATATTTTCTTTATTAAAATTAGGTAATGAAATACGACTTAATTGATTTTGTCAAATATCCAAAATTAAAAATGAAGAATCTTAATTAAGACGCATAAAATATTTGATGTTTTTTCTGAGACCAAATGTATTTCAGCGACTCATTAGCAGGGTTTTTTAAATGTAATTTAAAACATCTGTTTGAATTAGCATACATACTTTAATTTACACGTTTTTTATTTAACAAGCTATAATACAAATTAATCATATATTATTTGATTGTTTACATTAATAATTTAAGTACCTACATAATATAATGTTTATATAATTTCTCACCCACCCACATCCCGTTCTCAACCGTAATATTCTTTTTAATATCAATTATGTTTTATTTTTTTTTTTAATTAATAGGGTAAAAATTAATTTAATAACGTATGTATATTATATACACCCAAGATGAACACATAGCCGAGAGGTTTAAATTTACGGGAGACTAATGCAATGGAACATGTCCAATGACACAAATGACGACGTTAGTGTTTTGGTCTATTAACCATATATTAGTTAACCGGCCTAATAAATAACATTAACGAAAACATAAATCAGACGCATTTTAACAACATCCCGGGCACGGCGTGTGCATGACATTTTTAAATTATTATGCATTTCCATGTGCCTCCGTGATGAACCGCTCGTTTAAATACTTTTTTGAAAATGTTCGGTACAAGTTCCTTGTTCGTTTGTTTGTGTTTTTTTTTGTCTTTTTCTTAGTGTCTTTGTAATCAACCACATTCTATTATTTTTAAAATAAAATAAAGGATATTCAATAATAGAAACGGCACGAGAATTACAACACGATTAAGTGTAAATATAGATGACAATATGCAATAAAAATATCATTTTTTTTAAATCTCAAACATAATCAAATAAATCAAATGATAGGTATGTACTTTCGTAGGTGTACATGCAAATATGCAACACCTTTCAGTTTTATTGTCGTCTCTGCAATATTAAATATTGTATTAACGATGATAAACATGGGCTGCGCGTCTGGTTTGACAAAAGTGTGACGACAATAACAATAATAAATATATGATAATCAAATTATAATACTTGGGTATTACAGCGTATATTACAACAATTAATATAATATAATGGTACATTAATTAATCGCACATATACTTGTAGGGAAAAGACTGGTTTATTTTATAATAGGTATTTACTATGCAGTATATCAGTATAATACATGCGAACTTTAAGTATTTCGCATGCCAATAAAAGAGAAAAGCGGAGAATCGAGGAGAAGATAGCTCGCGCCCGCTCGAATATACATTTGGCAAGCGTCGAGCAATTAAAAACCGTTCGATCAATCGTCGGGGCAAGTATACACGGATTCCTGACCTTTAAGTCGCGGCACGGAGACGTCGAAAAAAATGGACGAGCGAGAAGAAAAAAACTGAAAAAAAACCACGAGCCGGACGTGCAATAAAATGCATTTTTTGCCACAGTTTTAGGTACCTACCTAAATAATAGCCATATACATACCTAATATATATAGCGACGGGTGCAGGTGGTGAATGCGCTTTGCTGCACGCATGCTATATATCAACCCTTTATAATCAGCGTGGTAAATATATAGGTATAATATACAACAACAACATTATATCTAAATTATATTAGGTACCTATATAATATCAACGCTGCGGATTGAGAACTTTTCCGCATTATTTTTCTACTCAATATGGGTCGTATATATGGTCGTATTACTCATAATAATAACTCGAGTAATTGTTTTACATTATAATATATAATATACTAGTTCATAATATATTATAATAGCCTAGCTAACCCACGTTAGAAACTATACGTTTTATCTACCGTAATCATCGCATAATATACCTACGTAAGCGATATAACGTGGCTGCATGAATAGCTTTTGTGGATTTCGAAAAACACTCTTTAAAATAAGAGTAGGTAACGAAGTAGTAAAAATCTACTAATCGTAGTAAAATTCTCTGCTTCGCTCGAAAACAAAAAAAAAAACAGGAGCAGTTCTCATGTCACCACCGTGCTGACCTAAAATATACTGGCTGCTGCATGACAAGACAACAAGTCTTATATATTAAAATAAAATTTATATATTTTATTATTATGCATTAGATGTGACACGTTAATACATCGTGTCAAGCGTAATATATATACAGTAGTACGGCGGCGACTGCAGGACTTACGGCCGTGCAGTCAGACGCACTCGCGTCTCTGCGGCAGCGGCTAAATTTAAATCCATAGACGTCTGTGAATGCGAAATAATCATCGCTGACCATATTGTATGCGATTCATCACCAGATAAAATGCACTTCAAAACAATAAAATAATAATATTTAAATGTCCACATACACTTAACACGTTCAGGGCCGTATTTACACTTTTTGCGCCCTGAGTCAACAATAGTTGTAAGCCTCCATCAAAAAAAAAAAAAATGAATATTTTGTTAAAAACACAGATCGCGATGATACATTATTTTAATTATTGTAAAAATGTATAACAACATACAATTGTAATCTATAAAAAAACTACAAAAATTAATAGTTATCAATTATCATTGATTGACAAAATGAGTAAATGACGCCAAATGGCCGTATCATAGTCATGCAATGCAAAAAGTCCAAGTATAGGGTACTCAAACAAATTCTTATCAAAAAAAAAAATTTTATTTATATAATATATACCGGCGCCTGGCCGCCCCCTAAAATGTGTCAAAAATTGACCTTCCGGGGCCAGTGTCCCCGTTGTCCCCCCTTTAAATACGGCCCTGATACACGTTATATAGTTATATTGCTTAGAAGATTAAAATCACGAGGTACCTACGCAGTATGGCTGTATACTATAATATTCCCGGTGTTTCCGAATTGCGGACAAAGTGACAAAAACCATGTGAGTTGCGGACGAAATCTAAAAAGGTAACATACGAATTGCGGACACA